TCACCACCGTCTTTTCAGACTCCTGGAAGGATTATCAGGAATTGAAGAGGAAGCAAGGTTAGAAACGAGGGGATTCGGATGGTTATGAAGTTTGTTACGGAAGGATAGGTATCTGGATTGGACCAAATTGGAAACATATGGAACATTAAGGTCATTATGGATTATTTTATTTGTGTCAAAGTAAGGAGCATTGAGAATTTTACGAAGGATTTTGGATTGTAAGGATTGAATACGAGAGGAATTCGATGATTTAGTGGAAGCCCATAGCTCAACTCCGTAAGTCCAAATAGGTCTTATTATAGTCATGTATATTAGTCTTTTGTAATTAATTAGAAGCTTAGAGCGTTTGTCCAGTAACTGTTTGAATAAGCGGAAACGTCGGGCAGTTTCTTGTCGTTTCATGAGGATTCAAAGTGAGAGGTTTTATTTAAAACGAAACTGAGAAAATACAAACAACAGAAATAAAGATATTAAAGTTTTATAAAATCACAATCTGTCAAATATATTATAGAGACTTACACATCATGGCCCTACTCAATTTTGACTTGAAAGAAAAAAAGAAAAGTAAATTTTATTCTATAATTTGGTCCTCTAATATTAATTTTAATGAATAGAAAAGTGACATTCATCTATCATAAGTATCTGTCTAATTATAATTACCTAACACAAAAATTAATGAAGCACAAGTAAACATATTAAATTTTAGATAAATATACATGAGTGTGTTCACATATTTGTACTGATAAACAATATAGCCACTATATAAGTATCTGTAAGATAACAGCAGAATGTATGAACATGGCAGCTCTTAGATATGAAAATTATATTCTTACATATGTTCGGAAGATAGCTGTGGAGGTGGAAAACAAATGGTATTTAAATGAGGTTAAGTAAGAAGATTTGCTTATGGAGGTAGATTTTTTAAAGGAAACGTTTCTATGAGAAGGAATATACAGGTTTGTGAGTTGGAATCTTGTGTTTAGAGAATGAACAGAGAGACAAGGAAAAATTAAATCGAGGAGGAAAGTAGGTTATCAGGCTGTAAGACTTGGAAATGGAAGGAGTACACCTAGGAAATATTTTCGTCAGAAAACTGAAGTTCAACTTATCTAGACGTAGGAGCCCCAGGAGAGTCTAAAGATGTAAGAAATTCTTAATTTTTGTAGAAAAAAAAACACATTAAAAGAATTATGAATGTGAGGTCAAAACAAACATTTGAGGAAGCGATCTTTGCGTTCATTTGCTGTCTGAGAATTTGGCCTGGACATTGGCTCCTATAAATTCGAGAGAGTGTACTTAGGATCCGATATGAACTCCAGGAATGATGTTACCCAGGATATAAGCTGACTGGTTAATGCTGCTAATAGATGTTTCTAAGACTTGTGCAAGCATTTTAAGATGAAAATCGTTCCCTTTAGAACAAACTCAACGTTGAAAAAAATCCTCATCAGATCATCAGATTTTTGAGAGACAGGTCTCAGGAGAATATTCGGAGTAGTAAGTGAAGGAGATGTATGGAGGAAAAGAAAAAAAAAACTATGGTGTGTAATTTTAGATCACACGATAGAAGAGAAAATATCAACAAGTTAAGATTAATAATATCAATATAAATTAAAAATAAAAGCTCATTATAAAGAGAATGAAACGCTGAGCATTGTCCCCGCTATAGTATGCAGGTCTGAATTTTAATTTCTAAAAAAAATTTAATCCATATCTTCCATGAAATTCGTTTTCGTTTGTTTTTTCGACAATATTTTTTTCTTTTTCGCCTCTCTAACACGGCGTCACGTTAAGATAAAACTAGGATCGTCTCAGGTAAATATGTTGAGGGGGAGAGAAAATCATTTAGCCTCCCTCTCACACAAAAATAATTTGAATTAAAAAAAATTAAAATGTATAACATATAAATTACAAGAATGAATAAAATATGTAAACTAAAATTGATTAAGAACACAAGAAAAATCAACTAGCTGGGTAAACTAAGGCCTATAAATAGATAAATAACTAATTTATCACGATCTAAATATTCATATTATTTAATTTTTTATTTATATTCAGCGATAATAATATAGGAACATATAATTGAATTCTGCAATCCATTTACCTTTCATATAGAAACCTACACGTGATTTTATTATAAATTGTCTGCGATATAGTTGGAATAAATATATTAATTAAGTACAAGTATTTAATAATAAAATACTTACAGAAACTGGTTAGTGAATATCCCATGATATAATGGCGCAGACGTTAAGATAATCGGGACACGTAGCTCGTAGCAATCCATCAGGAAGCCTCTACGTAACCATGAATGCTTCAATATAAGACAAAAGAACACGTGTAAGGCCCTAAAGCAGATGGGTGGATAGAATCAAGAATGATGCAATAAAGCTCAGATTACTGGAAATAAATAGGAAAAGATGGAGTAGGCTTGTTAAGGCGACATAAGCTCTACATTGTCTGTAACGTCAAGTACAAGCGTAATAGATTTTGTAGAGAATTTTTTTTATAGATACTTTTACATAACTAGTCATACTATAAAATCGTTTTATTTTTATATGTAAGTTGTACAAACTAAGAACTCAAAGGTATTTTTCAGTTTTAAAACATTATTGATTTTTAACTGAAAAACGTTTGAAAATATACTACTTACCTTATGGAGGCAGTCTCACTTACTCCCATGTTTAAATTATACGACTCATAATATATTCAATTTATTTTCATATATTTTCCAGTATATCCATAAGCCCAAACAATATTCCTACAATTGTCTAAAAATATATATAAATTTATTTGTAAATATCCAATATTTGGCTGTTTCATAATAATTATGTCAACATTTTATGCATACCTGAAATACCGCCATATTTGTTTTTTTTGTCCATCGTCCCTCCAACCAAAATGGGAAATCTGCGCCTATGTCTAGACCCACTAGCGGGTTATGCGCCGTATATATATATATATATATATATATATATATATATATATATATATATATATATATATATCCCACAATACTCGTTCCCGGTCTTCTGATTTATACAGAAGGGTCCACCGAACCGCTGCTTTCGAGAAATCGTTCATTATCCGATCCTCATCCCTTCACACATCCGTCAATCTAATACCTTTAAATCCCGACTGTTCAATCATTTCTTATCCATCCAGTCCCCATAAAATCATATATAGATACTACTGTAAATATTTGCATAAAATATTAGTTCGTTCTTCATTATTTGTATTCCAATTTTTTTTTTAATCTATTTTTTTATTTTTTGTATCATCAACTGATCAAAATTGGAAAGCAACTTGTATGTATATGTGTGTGTGTATATATATATTATTTTTTTTCACCAAGACTGTTCAATTACACTGTATTTTTATTTATGTATCGCTGAGGCTCCTTAGCCCACATTTCTATCTTCCTGTATTATTCTAAATGGATTCGTCCCAGAATAAATAAAGTATTATTATATATATATATATATATATATATATAGTTAATGATAATAAGTATTATGTAAGTGTTCAGCAATGCTTTGTTTAAAAGAATTGATTTTATGATTTTTTCGTATGTAAACAATCTACACATCTACCTGAAAAGGTGAGAATAAAATCATTTAATTTTATTTTGTAGACATTGATGATCCAGACGGCAATGAAATATATAATTATAGAAATTCATCGAGTAATTCTGGCCAAAACACAAATGATATCGCTGCTTCAGATAGTAATGTTGTATTCGTAGCATTCAATAGGTACAGAAATTTATTATAATTTTAGTTTAACATATACTTTATTTTCCAACTTAGGCGAAGTCCAAGGATGTTATGTTTAGCTTCATCATTTGTAAACAGAGATGTTGCAATAGTATCTATATCGATACTTTCCATTCGATATCGCTGGATATCATATCTAAAAAAGGATTCGATATTGTCTTAATATTAAAGGAAAAAGGACAATATCAAATTTCGATGTGTTTTAATTTTTCATTCACATTGTATATAATCTTAAATCAATTAAATATTCTTAAACCATTGAAATACTAACCCTTAAATATCTCCATATATTACGAAATGGAGTTCATCATTAAAGAAAACAGCTGATTTCTTCGGCTTATTGAAAAAAGTCACTAAGTAATTTTTTGTTAGTGTTGGACTTTTAAGATCATTTTTGTGAATTTCGACCTAATTTATCAATGAAAAACAACGTCAGAACACTAAAATGACACAAATTTTTACATATAAATTATCCATTGTTTTTTTCCTTTGGCAATACTTTCTTTATTGAATATTAATACATTCCACACATTAAAGGGCATTAATATTAAGGCTACATGATTCATTCACACAATATGTACAAAATAAACAATAAATACAAAATACAAAACTTAAATACAAATATACAAAATAAAAATATACAAAACTTAAAAAAAAATACAATTAATATTTCAATAATAAAGAAAAAGAAACATAAAAAAATAAAATAAGTTGATATGCCTGTGCTAAAAAAAAAAAAAAAAAAAAAATGAAATAATAGCTAAATGAAAATAAATCACATTCACATATATGTACAATATTTACATTCACCCAGGGGACTCTGAGTCATGCCTTATCCCGACGTGGGACTCCAGGAGATCCCAGTGCTTCTCTCTCAGCCGCATCACTGTTATTTGAAACCAGTGGAAACTGATGGAGTCAAAGTGAATTAAGGTTAGCAAAATTCAATTAATGACTTTTTTCATTAAATCGACAATATATTTTTCATGTGTCTCAACAATTTTATTTTGATGTCGATAATAGGTAATATCGAAATGCATTTTTGTACTTACACGATATCGCAACAACCAAATTGGGAGTAACGATTTTTTCAGCGAATTTCTCTTTTATATATATATATATATATATATATATATATATATGTGTGTGTGTGTGTGTGTGTGTGTAGATACGAGACTATTTTTTTCTAAATTTCATTTTTAAAAAAAGGAAAATATTTTACAGGAAAAATCCTAACGGCACCATTATAACACTGGACTCAACTGAAAGTGAGTTAAAATCTATTTTGTTACAAAACAGAACGACAAAAATTATAACCCACGGCTGGTTGGGTTCGGAAGATGGTCCATATCTTGCTGACATCAGAATAGGTATTGGATATGATCATTTATTTTTTATTATAACCAATAAGATCATTAATGTATTTAAACGTACCAAAATGTACTAATCATTAAAAATAATTAAATTGCTTGCAGATAAAGACGGTAAGTATTAGTAGTTTAACAAAGGATGTTGTCCTAATTTTTTTTTTATTTTAATGAAATTTACAACTGTATTACATGGAAAATACAAGTAAATGTGACATTGGTAACATGACAGGTAAAACATGAAGAGAAACTACCCATTGGTAGAACTCAAATTAAAGTTATTTAAATTAAATCTATATTAGAGCTATATTAGAAGGTCCCGAGGCCAGCTTCTTTTCAGACGCTGAGAGAGTTATCAGGGATTGAGGAGGAAGCAAGGTTTGAAACGAGAGGATTCGGATGGTTCTGCAGTTTGTTATGGAAGGATAGGTATCTGGATTGGGCCAAATCGGAAATATATAAAACATTAAGGCCTTTATGGATGATTTTATTTGTGACAAAGTAAGGAGCGTTGAGGATTTTACGAAGGATTTTGGATTGTAAGGATTGGATACGAGAGGAATTCGATGGTTTCGATGAGCCCCAAAGCTCAATTCCGTAAGTCCAAATAGGTCTTATTATTGCCATATATATGAGTCATTTGTAATTGATTGAAAGCTCAGGGCGTTTGTCTAGGAAATGCTGCAGTAGTCGAAAACGTCGGGCGGTTTCTAGTCGTTTCAGTCTGGTATGGGAGTTCCAAGTGAATCGTTTGTCAAGGTGGAGTCCTAAGTATCGGATTTGTTCGACAGTGGTAAGAGGGCTATTGTTGAAGGATACTGTAGGACAGGAAGTCATAGGTTTACGACGAAGAGTGAAGGTAATTTGATGGGATGGAGCCCTAATTTTATAAATTAAAATCATTGTTCAGAGCAAAATTTCTGTAATAATATACAGTGCCGACCTTAGATACAACAACTTATAAACGACATGGCCACGGCTGACATGCGCATCAGGAGACGAATGAAAAGGAGCTGGATGAGAGATCTTTTTTCAATCTCCTTTTTCTAATTTCTGATTCAAGGAAGTAAACAAATACCATGGAAGACGTGCTGGTGGGTACTATTCCTCCTCTTGCCTGCAATTGCATTTTCTAACATAACAAAAAACTGCTTATTGCCTCTTTCATTACAGGTGTGGATCGAAATTCAAAGATAAAAAAAAGAGGCTTGTAAACGATTTGTAAATTTACAAATCTTAAATGTTTAAATGGCAATTAAAAAATGTATACCTTCATTTATAAAGTTTTGCTACTCTTGTTTGGTGTATTTAAAAGAAAATTTCGTACATTTGACAAACACGTTTGAAGGCTAACATGAAATATCTGTCAATTTATTAGTCAATCAGTGTCAGTATAGAGATATTCGTCACATAATTGTACCTTGCATAATTTGTGATAAAAGTTCATATAATTAGCCTATTCTCTAACCATTGCATACAGCTGATATCTCAAGTCGATGATGCACGTTTGCTATCTGTTAATAATGACACTTTGAGTGTCAAGTTAATGACAAGTTGATTAGGTTGATTAATAGTTGAAGTGTGGACTAAGGTTTATTTGTTATGTATGTAGATTTTTACTGTTGGAATGTTCATGTCGCTGTGTATGGTGTGATTTGAAATATATCAGGGTGCATTTACTATTTTTCGAAGTAATCTGGACTGTGCAGTTTGTATTTTGTTTATGTGGGCGTGTTTTGAGAGGAACTTGAAGGTTTGGTGGAGCCCCATAGCTCAACTCCGTAAGTCCGTAATAGGTCTTATTATAGTCATGTATATGAGTCTTTTGCAATTGGAAGTTTAGAGCGTTTGTCTTATAAGTGCTGAAGTAATCGGAAACGTCGACCGGTTTCTTGTTGTTTCAGTCTGGTATGAGGATTTCAAGTTAGAAATTTGTCCAGATGGAGTCCTAGGTCATTTTCAATAACTAAAGATTTAAAAATTAAAACCACTGTCATCACCACTTACGCCGATGACACATGTTTGCTATCTGTTAATAACGATCCTTTAATTGCATCCCAAACTCTTCAATCACATATCACAAGCCTTGAACAATGGTGTAAAAATTGGAGAATAAAAATAAATTCCAACAAATCCCATCAAATCACCTTTACCCTCCGTCGTAAACCTATGACGTCTTGTCATACAGTAACTTTCAATAATACTCTACTTATTCCTGTTGAGCAAATCCGCTACTTAGGACTCCATTTGGATAAACGTCTTACTTGGAATCCTCATACTAGACTGAAACGACAAGAAACTGCTCTACGTTTCCGACTGCTCCAACACTTATTAGACAAACGCTCCAAACTTTCTATAAATTACAAAAGACTTATCTACATAACTATAATAAGACCTATATGGATATACGGAGTTGAGCTTTGTGGCTCCACTAAACCATCGAATTCCTATCTTATCCTATCCTTACAATCCAAAATCCTTCGTAAAATCCTTAATGCCCAATATTTTGTCACAAATAAAACCATTCATAAAGACCTTAAGTCCCTGAAAAGAAGATTGTCTCGTGATCTTCTTACCCAGATTTAGGCAGTGCAACCACTTGTTAGGATCTCAACAAGTCTGTTCATAGTATTATTTCTAATTTGTGCTAAAATACTGGTTGTATTTATTTAATACAGATGTTAATTTCAATAATGAAAAAAAAATTCTAAAAAATTTAAGTCAGGAAATATTAATGCTCACAGCGTTAAATTCTTTTGTTTCTTATTTTAAATTAATTTCTTTTAGTTGATTAATTTTTTTTGTTCTTAATTTAATGAAATTTCGAAAGTTTATATACCAAAAAAAAAAACATAAGAATAATGAAATCAGCTGTTTTAAGTGATAAAATACAATTTAGTTATAGTTAACAGACTCCATTGCATCGGAGTATTTTATAGCCTATATATATATATACAAATAAATAAAAAAAAAAAAAATAGATCCCGCGTTTCGACCTTTATATCCCTTCAGATAGAACTAAGACATCTGAATATTCCTTTATTGCCCGATCCACTGTCTTCTGAAGTTCTTTGCCATCTGATATCCACCATGCCTCTTCCTTCTCCTCATTTAAATATCATCTCTACCAATTCCTTCTCACATCCCAAAATGACGTTATACAATAAAATACATATTGCGAAACAGATTTTGACTGAGGTGAATAGTTGAGTAAATTGATTGAGTTCTAATTTTAAAAATCAGCCTATGCTTCCATTATTTTGTTTTGTTTTTTTTCATTTAAATAATGTTTTTTTGTTGTTTTATTCAAAATGGTGTTATTTTTACTTGTTTTAATATACTTTTACTGAGATACTGTATATTTTCTTTAATATTGATTAATGTAATTTTTAGCCAGATGTATTTTTTATTTTTTTTTGTTCATAACTGTTATTCATAAGGGGCCTCGTCCCAGAATAAAATTTAATTTCTCTCTCTCTCTCTCTCTCTCTCTCTCTCTCTCTGTATATATATATATATATATATATATATATATATATATATATATATATATATATATATATGTTTTTTTCTACCCTTCCTTACCTTATAGGCTACATGGGGTACAAGATTGAGAAGTCATTCATTCAATTTTTTTATATAGTTTCTACTTGGATATTAGTAATATTTTTGATTATTTTAGCACCAGTTTAGATATATTAATTTTAAACAGTTTCCTATGGTTAAAAATGTATTTAATTCAATATTTTAATATTGTTTTTATTCATAATATTATATTTATTTTCGTTAATCAGAAGTTATTATTTAATTTCATTATAAATCGTATGTGAAATTGACTTCATTTTTTTATTCTTACTATTTGTTGTTATGTAAAAAATAAATTCTTAATCCAGGTTTTGTAACTTGGTTTTTTTTTTTAATTTTAACTGTTTCCTGGATTCCATCCCTGTTGAATAATTAACTGATTGATTTGATTGGTCTGAAATTTCAGCATATTTGAAGAAACATGACCTGAACGTAATAGTTGTGGGATGGGGAAGAATAGCACGCAATGAGTATACTATCGCCACTCTTGGAGTTGCAGGAGTTGGATCTACAGTTGCAAAAATGGTCAGCAACCTATTGGACATAGGTTTAGTTAGATCGGAGGATATCCATCTAGTTGGTCACAGTCTTGGAGCTCATGTCATGGGCGTTGTTGGAAGTTCCATTATAGAGTCTGGTCGTGAAAAAATTGGAAGGATTACAGGTATATGGTTAATATATTGTAATATCTATAATGCAAATATAATATAGCCAAGTTGTATTTTAAGAGATTCAAGAGATGTCTTTGATAATACTGAACTCTGGATATACACTGACAGGCAAAAAATTCCACCCACTTTTTACCCATTAAGGATCCACGTTGGAAAGGTTGGCTCTGGGAAAAATTACAGGCTGCATATCTTTCGTTTCTTCTTCTCCACACCCTTTCACGCCCCTCTGGAGATCGAAGAGCGAATCTTGACTCATCTGTAAAAACTACAGCACTCCATTCGTCCATAGTCCAATGGTTGTGTTCTCGAGCAAAAGCCAGCCGTGTTACTGGACGAAAAGCCATTAATCCATACTCATTTAATCTTCTCCGATCGGTACTTTTAGAAATTTGCACACCTCGAACTTCTTCGAGCTGATGAATCGCTTGAACAACGGTAAGGTGCCGGTTTCGTAAAATTCTCAAAGTCAAAAACCGGTCATCCCATGGTTCTGTTACCCTAGGCCAACCAGAACTGGGCCTTCTATTGTAAGAACCAGTTTCCCGAAAACGCCTGATGGCGTCTTGTAAAGTTTCATATAGAACTCCGATGGCATTAGAGGCTTATCTAATGGAACATACATCATCAATAAGTGCCACACCACGCGCAACATCCTCAGAACTAAGAGGCATTTTTAAACTTAATATTGAAAAAATTAAAAGCCGGAGACTAAGGAATGTGCTGCAAGAAACGGCACTAAACTAATGATACTGAATAAACATTTTGATTCCTTAGAAAGTAAACATTGGAATCTAGAATCATTTCATTTATTAAGGATTAAGGGTTATTTTCCTGTATATTAACATTCCTAATTGAAAACAAACAAAAAGATTACCTATTTATTCATTAAAAACAATAGACCAATCCAAAGCAGAAATATTTTTAGATGAAAACATGAAAAAATCAATTGGGTGGAATATTTTGCCTTTCAGTGTATATTATATACTAGTATACCTAGCAGATAACATATGTCCTAGTATGTATCTACTCCTCAACCTAATATAGTTCACGTATAAGCGAATTCAGCTAACCATATTTATTTATATATCGTTTATTTATATATGTTTATTTATATCGTTTTGTTATTTCAAGTTATGGTTCCAGGATTTGGAAGAGTATAAAAGATTTGGGAGAAACAAATTTTTAAACGGCTATTTTTTTGTTCTCTGTTTACATCCACTCTTGTGCCAAAGAAACCTTGAAAACCGACGTCAGTAATTAAAAAAAACAACTAAGGTGTGTGCTTTAGACCACACGATGGAAGTAAAAACATCAACAAGGCGAGATTAATAATGTGAAATGTAATTGTAAGAAATAGCTCATTATAAAGATCAGGAAATGTTGAACATTTCCCTCGCTTACAGTATGCAAGTCTGGCTTTTAGTTTCTGAGATATTTTAATCCATATTTTCCATAAAACTCGTTATCATTTATTTTGGTCACTATTTTTTTTTCTCTGCTACTCTCTTACTCGGTGTTGGGTCAAGATACAATTTTGGTCAAGATAGTTAGTCTTGGTCTTGCAAACTCAGTCTTGGCCATGGTCTCGGTCTTGCGCAAGAGCCTCACAACCTTGCAGTTACTTATTAGCTTACTACAGTAATGTTTTAGATAGCAGAAACCTAACTAAGCCCGAATGAAAAATTAGAGGAGTTAAATGCAAAAGTTTATTGGTTATACCAATTATTTATGTATAGTAACTAAGATTGTAAAGTGTTAAAAACTATTTGCCTTGTTCATGCAAAGTGCAAGACCTAGACCGATTTTGGGCAACACTACTCATTACAAAGAAAATGAAATGCTGAAAATGTTTCTTGCTTACAATATTCAAGTCCGATTAATCATCTAAATTACAGATTCATACAACTATTTTTCGAAGTTGTTCATATTTAATAATTAATGTTTACAATACATCTTTAAGTTTGGCCGCTTACATTAAGGGATGAGCATTGTCTTAAGGTTTTTGAAAATAAAGTATTGCGTAGAATATTCGGACCGAAGAAGAATGAATTAACCGAAGAGTTCAGACGGTTACACAACGCAGAATTGCGTAAACGGTATCCGGGTAATATAATTGAGGTGATTTCATCCCGGCGAATCAAATGGGATTATAAAATTGTTGGGCTTAGAAACGAGAGAATTTCTAAAAGGTTAATATTTGCTCTTCCGAATGGTATACCTCCGAGGAGTAGACCGAAGACAAGGTAGGAAGATTGCATTAAAGCCAATCTGAAGGAACTAGGTTTGGACGGCGAACGGTGGAGGGAGGTGTGTAATGAGCGATTGGTGGTGTCGGCATCGAATCTTCGGGTTTGCTAAGCCTTTTATTATTATTATTTATTATTATACTTCTTTAAGTAAAGCATACGTGTTGTAGGATTAGATCCAGCGAAACCTGGTTACGAAAACATAAGAGGAGAAGATCTTCGACTGGACAGCGGAGATGGCAGATTTGTCGACGTCATCCATACCAGCATCGGCGTTTTTGGATACGTGTCACCTCTTGGCCATGCAGATTTCTATCCGAATGGTGGCTATAATAACCAGCCTGGATGTCCAATATATAGAAGTATGTTGCATATATTTATTTCTTTAAGCAAAATACACCTGGAATTTAAAAAAAAAATAGTATTTAGAATTGATACGCCGACGTTTCGACACACATTGTTGGTTTTCATCAGGGCTACAGAAGATACAAAATATAAAAGGTACATGGTAAAAATGAATTATAAGTCGATATTAAATAAGAAATGTTTAAGTTAAGTTTTAACTTACACGCTATATTCTTTTTTGTTTTCTATTTTTATTCATACTTATTTTCTATTTTTGTTTTTTTTCTTCTATATATATAATACTTGATATTTTAACTAAGCTGTCATCTACTATATCTCTGATGTCATCTTATTATTTCTTTATCAGACAACTGTTTCTTATTTAATATCTGCTTGTAATTAATTTTCACTGGTACCTTTTATATTTTGTATCTTTCTTAGACCTGATGAAGACCTAGAAAGTGTGTCGAAACGTCGGCGTATCGATTAAAAATACTATTTTATTTAAAAAATTAGTATTCATTTGACCGCACCCCCTCCCCTACCAACTCCTTCTCAGATGAATGAATTATATTTCCTTTTCTCCATGTACCTTTTATAGTTTTTATCTTTTGTAACGATACGTTTTGAGTCTTATTCTTTTTCAAAATATGTCAGACCAAACTTGTCCTAGTAAGAGTTTGAATTTATGAATTTAGAACTGCCCATTATCCTTGAAATCCATTATTTTTATAATTCTAGAAGGTATAGTTTTTCTCAGCGGGCTGTATGTTACTTATCAATAAAAGTAATTAATCCATCAGATGAATATATAAAATGCTTAAAATTGATCTCTGGTCCCATCTCTTGTTTCCCCACTTCGAATATGGCTGTATGGTGTATGGTGGACTCTCGGGAGAACTCGAAGCTAAACTTAAACGTCTAATGAATTGCTCAATACGCTTTATCTTCGGGATCTCAAGGGATACGCATTTTACTTATCTCAGATCATTTTATATTTATTTACGTTTTTATGTATTTTCATTGTATGTGCTTTTATTATCTTACCACTCATCTTGTAAATATTTACTTTTATTTTATGGATACACCAACATATTAATTTATACTATGTATTTATAATTTGTTCAAAAAGGACACTAATCCCAAAATAATAAAATTATTTTCAATCATTCATTCATTCATTGATAATGGCATTCTTCATTAAAAGAGAATCTAATTTACGACCCAGATATCACTTATATATTCATACAAACAATGAAATATCATATCCCTTGACAGAAAAAATAACAAAACAGTATTCGGCTACAATTATATATTCAACATTGGAAGTCATTTACTATTCAATATGAGTGCCAACATATTTTCATTAATATTATAATACCATACGTTATTAATTAATAAAAGGAAAAGGATACAAATTTTATATATACCAATACTATATACTATATAATATAACATTAGTTGTCAATTAAAAATTATATTTTTTATATTACAGTTTTCTGCAGTCACTTGAAAGCATTAGAATATTTTATAGAGAGTATAGAAAATGAACTCGCTTTTCCTTCAGTGAAATGTGATTCATTTTCCAATTTTGAATCAAATCAGTGTGAAAGCAATGAGGTTGTTTATATGGGAGAACCTACACCACCGAGGTAAAAAATTAAATTTAAATTATGAAGAATAATTTCATGCTATTTTTAAATTATATTCTTTATTTCTGTATTCCGTTGGTAAAGAAAAACATGCCTATTTTTCTGTTTGCTCAAAGGAACCAATGTTCCATAAATTTCAGGTATTAAAGTGTATGTCTTAGTTACTAAATCTGTACTTCGGAGAAACAGGAGGCCATGTGACATTTTTTTATTTGTTCAGTTTCAGTTGTATTATTTAGTTATTAAATTATTTAATACAAAAATTGACATGGTGTCATTTACCTCCGGGGCAAAGATTTTTAGGAAGGATTCTTTTTCATAGAAAAAAGATTATTTTTCCTTCCATTTATTACTTTTTTTAAAGAGAAGTTGGTAAAGATGTTCAGTCAAAACTATAATATAGAAGTAAATAAATGATGTTTTATTTTTTTTATTTTTACTATTATTAATTAATTATACCACTATTATTATTTTTGTTATTTACTCTTTTTTCGATATAAGCCGATATTTTCCATATTGTAAATTATTAATATTCATAATATTGTTTCAGTACACGAGGTATTTTCTACTTACGAACTTCTAATAATTGAAAGATGGATGAAAATGATGACGAAGTTCTTCGTTTAAATAAATAAAAACTTACACTTGATACTTGAACTTATTTTTACTTTCACACACCCATATTGAAATATATTCATAAGTTATTTTAGTTGAATATTATTAATTTTTTTTTTAACATTAACGATAAAAGACTAAATAATATTAGTTTTCTTTTTCTTTCTAAAAGATATACTTTTTTTCGAGTTTAAAACAAAGCGTTCGCAATTTTCGGTCTCTTCATTGCTATATATCATTTTTCCTTTTCTCCTAATCTCTCCTGTAGATCTGTAGGATTATATTCACAATTGCACATATTATATTATATATTACACTACAACAATCGTTAACATCTACTAACATAACTTCAGTTTAGGATCTTGTTACTTAGCTTACTCTGTTTATACAACTTAGTGTTCTTGATATTTTACTGTTCTTGATGTACTTACTGTTTATAATTTTAATAAGTTTATTCACATTGTTCATAACTCCCACCATTGTCTAGACATTTTTGTATCTTGTCCATTCTATCCCTGAAGAATACCTGCAAAGTCGGGTCGAAACGTTGGCTTTTAATAAAATAGTTTAGCCACTATTTAATCTATCTATGACCGTCACCCCGGACCATCTCCTTTCTTAATAATACAACGGTCAGCTATTAAGTATTCAATATAAAATAATTATTATGGTCTGTTATATAAAACTGCTCTTAACGTATATATGTACTAGCATAGTCCAAAGAAATTTTATTATCAACATAAAAGATTTACTTCAATTCTAAATCAAGGTACTTAAATAATTTAAAAAAAATATGTAATGCTTCCTGTTTAATAAATCAATTATTTATATAAGCGTATATCAGAAATATTTATCAATTGTCCCGTTGAGTCATGAATAAATAAATTTCTTTATTTTCACATGTGTGCACTACTTTGAACATTTAACCCTACATTTGTACTTCGACTTAAATCTAGTCGCAAGTCTTCAAAATCAAAATCAAAATCAACTAATATGTGAATCCCTCATAAACAAACAAAAATATGGTATTTCAATTAAAAAGAATCAAGTAGAAATATCCCCATTCATTTTTGCGAAGTATATATCCTTGAAGATTCCTGAATGGGCTTAAATTTGAATGATTTAATAATGAATTGAATTACTGAAACCTAATGGAGTAAACAATTATTTTTACATGTGAACCAATTTACAGATTACTTTTGTATTTAAATTAAATCAATTTAGATTATAGTATTCATATACATAATATGAAAATCCAATATTATATAATCATTTATAATTTCTAAAATAAATAAAAAGTTGTTTTTATTCTTTACTTATCAAGACTTTGGTCGTTATTCGAATCATCAAGCATGATATTTACATTTAATTTTCTATTATCCATAGATATAAAAATAAGATCATTGTAATATTATTAACTTGCTAAAATAATATGGTAATTATATCTTAATGTAAGGCTTTTTGCTCCCATTATTACACATCAACAACAAGAATTTTGGAAACATTGAATATTAAGGCATTATTAAAGGATTGTATGCATTCATTTATATTAAAATGAATGTAGTTATTTATACATACTATTTTTTAAAGATATTCCAATTTATAATATTGTATTGTAACCTGTAACTACTTTATTTACGAAACTTCTCAGAATTGAAGCGTTTTCAATCTGGAAATTTACAAACTTTGTTTATTTAACTATGTACTAAAAACTTATAAATACCCATTTCCTTTCCACTTGAATCGTAAGATAATTTGAGCACAAAATCGAGAAAAAACTTTCAAAAATATTGAGCCGTTTTGCTGAGACCTACACCCCCAAAAATTCAAAATAACGAGATTGTATAGGCCAAACGGCTCAATATTTTTGTATGCCGCATTTTTCTTGATTTTCTTACCAAAGTATCTCACATTCAAATGCATTTTAGTACCTAATTAAATAGACAAAGTTTGGCGATCTCCAGATTGATAACGCTCCGATTCCAAGAGTTTTCGTAAATAAAATAGTTGTAGGTTACGATGAGATGAAGCTATTCACGAAGTTTCAAGCGGATTTTAATAATTAGACAAAAGGGGTCAATATCACGGACTACTATATGACACTGCGAATTTCTAAATCCAATACTAATCCATTGATGGGTTTCCAATGCTTATCAATGATCTCAGCGGTGTTTAGAAACTTGTCCACATTATATCTGTCAGCAATCAATGCTTACAAACAACTTTAAGCAATTTTGTATTATAATCCCAAATCATATGTTTTACATTATAATTATAGGATAAAAAGGACAAAATACTGAAAATACACATGTTTTATAGCTAAGGTTTTAGATTAAATGGAATTAAATAAAATATAAATTGGCTTAAGATCCATGAAATGATCTTAGTGATAGTATTTTGAAATGTAGAGGGGTAAGAAATTATAATTGGGAATGAATATTGTATTTGTTATGTTTGTAAACTAAACTTCTTATAAATAATGTTTTTATTTTACAATTTTGAATGTTTATTTTTATTGACTGTCCATAGGAAATCAGGAATTACACGTTGATAGGATGTGATAGTTTGAAAGACCTTGGAGATGGGGCGTGATATCTTATCAATAAATTGAGTAGTGAGGAGGTTACTTAAGGTCTAGTGATAATAAGTGCCAAGCCGGTTTTGGTACCAGTTTTTCTCCCAGTTTAGAATTAACATCTGTCCTCTTTCTCATTTTACTCAAACTTTTCTCGGTTTTTAATAGTTTTTTAAAGGAAAAATTGAAATGGCTCTAAATAAATTGGCAATTGATGCCCTTGCTTTGTCCAACAAACGAGTTCTAATGAGGTTTGTGATTTATTTTTATTTTCTTTTGTATTAAAATTATGAATTCATACCCATAATTCAAACAAATCTTATAGAGTGGACTTCAACGTACCTCTGAAAGAAGGAAAAATCACGAATAATCAAAGGATTGTTGCTGCTTTAGATACAGTTAAATATGCTTTGGACCAGAAAGCTAAGAGTGTAGTGCTTATGTCCCATTTAGGGAGACCTAATGGAAAAAAGGTTGATAAGTACAGTTTAAAACCTGTCGCTGATGAGCTTAAAACGCTCCTGAACAGGTATAGGTAATGCCTAAACCTTTCCCATCCTTTTGTCTCCATCTCTCCTCTTCCGTAATTGTGTTTATCATCATGAAGTTTTATGTTAATCTATGTTTGTTGGCATTGCCTAGAGAAATTATGTTTTTACCCGATTGTGTGGGACCAGAAGTGGAACAAGCTTGTGCAAGTCCTAATGACGGAAGTATTATACTTCTTGAAAACCTACGTTTTCATATCGAAGAGGAAGGAAAAGGGGAAGACGATTCTGGGAAAAAAGTAAGTCAACTTTCAATTACTAAAATGATTTAATATTCTTATATTTTGATTGTTTTTTGACCAATTTATTGTTTATATCATTTTCTTATCCTCCATTTGATTTTTTAAATATTGCAATATAAGTACATGCAATATATACTTATACATATTGTTGCACATATATATCACATGTTAACTTTAGTTCTTATATCTTCCTTGACCTTTAATGATTTCAAGATTGAAATATACTATATAGAACTGTTATTTAAACACCTCATTTTTCAGTTTATGTGTCTTTTTACTAACTTAAAAAAACAAACTCATAATGCCTTAAATTTGAAAGTTTATAACTCATAATTTGTTTTGATGTAACTACAATATTATTTTCTTAAATTACAAAGCTTTAAATAAGTAAATCAGTATGTTATTTTATTTGTTATGAAATTGAATACATTTGAATTGAATATTGTATTATAATCCTGCAATAAATATTTAAATAATATAGTACTAATTAAAGGTTTAGAATTTATTTTCAGTATTATAGTTTTGATTGTTTATTATTATAGTATAATTGCTTCAACAAAGGTCCTTGAAATATTACAATATTCGTCTATACTTATTTAGGATGTCATTAATTATGATCTATTTGGTATTTGACTGCGATTTTAAGAGTTTAACATTCTTCTAGGTCAAAGCCGATCCTGAAAAAGTAAAAAGTTTTCGTGCCTCACTTAAAAAATTAGGTGATGTTTATGTCAACGATGCCTTTGGTACAGCTCATAGAGCCCACAGCTCAATGATGGGTGACGGTTTCGAACAAAGGGCCGCAGGATTTCTACTTAAAAAAGAACTTCAGTACTTTTCAAAAGCTCTAAACAACCCCGAGAGGTATGAATTTAATGTGCTCTATTATTATTTACGAAATCATACATATTTCTTGTCCTTGTATTGATTACCAATTAATAGTGTTGTGCACTTGCCAGTAGCTTGAATGGCAGAAAGTTATTTATATTTTGTAATGTGTGTTATGGAGTTAAAGGTTTCAGTTCACATAAACTTGGTTTAATGTTGTTTATTGATTATAAATAAAAATTAAAAGTTTTACTATATAATAATTCTTTTCAATACCTTAAATTAGTAGTTATTTTATTTAAATGAAGCTAATATGTAAGGATTAAATGAAACGATAATTTTAGAAACCTCATAACTCTTAAACACCAAATATTCAGTTGAAAACAGTCATGTCCTAAGCAAAATAGATCAAAACATCTAAAAACAGCTGATAATTAAAATACAATTCCTTGTTGGATTTTAACTTATACTTAAATTTACTTAGTTTATTTGGATTTTTTAAAATCATTTAACTATATGAAATTAAGGGAAATAGTTATTATCGATATAAAATAATTGTAAAGTATGTGAAATAATCAACTATATGAACTATTGTTCATTTATGATAAAATTATTTATAAAATCAGTTAAAATAACATCAAATCAAATGAGTTGTGATAAATAGTTTCATAAAATTTATTGAATAGATAGAAAAGTTAACAAATTATAATTATAAAAGTACTGCCATATTCTGATACTTCCCTTCTTTCACATATCGGTTACTGGAAAATTTTTGTGTAATAATTTATAATGTGTAGGTCATCTGTCAGCTTTCAGCATAACTGGCTACTGAAAGCGCAGCTGAGCTTAGTTGAGCTTAGCTGAACTGAGCGTAGTAAGAGGGGCTCTGCAACCGATGGCATAGCGGAGTATATCTCATATTATATATACATTTTTTTTAGAAAGTATTTATAACATTTTTAAAAAATAGCAAATTGTTCATTTCGGAGCTGAAAAGAAAAATCAAATATTTGTGTATAAAATCGAATATTTTCCCTTACACATTCGATTCTATTTAAGAATTCTTCCACACCCATTGCATATTTTACACTGAACCTAAATAAGATAGTTTGAGAGGTTGTGCAGTGAAAACAACCGGATACAATTTAAAATATATATATATAGCATATAAACCATTTCAAAAAATAGCAACTTGATCATGTCGGAGCTGAAAAGAAAAATCAAATGTTTGTGTATAAAATGGAATATTTTCCCTTACACATTCAATTCTATTTAAGAATTCTTTCACATCCATTGTATATTTTACACTGAACCAAAATAAAATGATTTGAAATGTTATGCATTGAAGACAAGCTGATAACATTTAAAAGAAAAAAAAAAATATATATATATATATATATATATATAGCATATATAACATTAAAAAAAAATTGATGTTGAACATTAAAAAAAACATTAAAAAAAAGCGATGTTGATCATGTCAGTGCTGAAAAGAAAAATTGAATATTTTACCTTACACAATCGATTAAGAATTCTTCCACAGTCATTGCAAATTTTACGCTGGACCAAAATAAAATAATTTGAGAGGTTTTGCAGTGAAAACAAACAGAAAAAAAAAGATGACACAGAGGAACTAAGATCCATGGTTGTGTGACAGTGGTGAGTAGTTGTGGTGGGGGAGTCAGCTTCTAAAACCGAACCTCGGTCTACCCAAAGAGCTGATCCTTGCTACGCCGCTCAACTGTGCTCAGCTCAGCTCAGCTTCTGTCAGCCAGCGTATCATTGAAAACCTTTGGTTCGGTTTTGGAAGCTGACTCAGCTTCACTCAGCTCAGCTCCGCTACACTTCCGGCTCCGGTCGTCCTCATTTGAATTTTTGGATTTTTTCAACTTTTTCTTATTGAAAGACTTGTCACTATCAGAGGTCAAAATATTGGAAATTACATGTTATCTATCACATTATATATATATATATATATATTTTAAAACATTTTCAGGCCATTTCTTGCCATCCTAGGAGGAGCTAAAGTCGCTGATAAAATACTTTTAATTGAAAATCTTCTGGACAAAGTCGATGAAATGGTTATTGGAGGAGGGATGGCATTCACCTTTCTGAAAGTATTAAACGATATGAAAGTACGTTTTGAAATTGAATTATTTTAATTTATGATAAAATATATGCAATAAAATTTAATTTATAATAATAAAATATTTTTTATTAGACTTTATTGTATGCTTGTTTTATTATGAACATAGTATTTAATTTTAATACTGGTTAAACATCAAATTTATTTTTATTTGAGTGATAGTGTTTCAATTTTTGATATTTTTAATAAAATATCAATATGTTTGAAAAGCTTTAAACAGAATAATTTAAACATAAATTTATTTATCTTATAAATATATTATTTTTTTTAAATCATATTATTCTGTTTAACTACCTTAACACTTTTTTAAAAGACAATTTTAAACAGAAACTATGTTACATCACTGACTATTATTTTGTAATGCATGTGCACTGATGAGTTAACTCATCTTCAGTCAACAACGTCTTGGCATGAAAAGATGAGATAACTCGTCACCAGTCAAGAATGTGTTAAAATTCTTTCAATGATGAGATTTTTTAACCTCCGATTGGTCGCTATACCAATCTTAACAAATTCGGGCTCACTTCATCTCTTTTAGATTAAATTTCTGTTTAGATTCTAAGGAAAATGAAGAAATTTCATTGATTACGTTATAATTTTTATTTTCCAGATTGGAAATTCCTTGTTTGATGAGAAAGGTTCAGAAATTGTGTGTAAGTTAATGGAAAAAGCTAAGGATAAAGGTGTTAAAATTCATTTGCCTGAAGATTTCGTCACTGGAAACCGTTTTGGTGAAGATGCTGAGGTTGGAGAAGCAACAGTGGATACTGGAATTCCTGACGGATGGATGGGTTTGGACATTGGACCTAAATCTTTTAAGAACTTCGCTGAAGCTATCTGTACAGCAAAACTTGTAATTTGGAATGGGTTGGTATTTTATTTTTACTATGTTATTATTATATTTTTGTAGATGTAGAATATACTGATGTAGAATCATAAAACTGAACAATCAAACCTCTTTTGACAATTATCAATCGATTTAAGCACTCCCATCATGTTCCTGTAGGAATATTGTTAATAAGGTTCCTGTAATAATAAGGTTAGCATTGTAGTATTAATTTTAGAATTTAATTTTATTTTATTTAATTTGAAATTAATAAAAAAAAAAAAAAAAATCAAAATGGGTCATAGACAATATAGTCCATCGTACAGACCCCTTTTTATCAAATCATTAACATCCTCCTAAAACTTTGTTAGTATCATTATAATAGTTTCATCTTAACAGGAAGGTACCTCATGGTGAGACCGAATTCCTGCATCTTTCATATATAAATTGCTTAATTGTAATATTATAACAGCTATAGTATAGCATTTAATATTTATTGTTTATTTGAAATTAATAATCAAATTTTATTTAGGCCTCCTGGTGTCTTCGAATTTGATAACTTCTCATGCGGAAGTAAAGCCATGCTGGAATCTGTCGTCAAAGCCACTGAAGCTGGAGCTGTCACGATCATTGGTGGCGGGGATACAGCCACCGTCGTAGCAAAATATAAAGCTGAAGACAAAGTCTCCCATGTTTCTACTGGTGGTGGTGCCTCCTTGGAACTTCTCGAAGGTATTTGATTTTTTTTTTTTTTATGATAAACTATACTTTATAATAAATTACATATTCAATGTAGGTGACCATCCCTACAGTGTTACAGTACCTTTTCCAGTAAAAATGCCAACAGAAGTTCTTTATATCATTGATATCACACTTTTTTTACAATTTTCTTGAGAACTGCATTGAAAATTTCAAATAAACTCATTATATTATTACACAATTAAATGGTTTTTAATATCAGTTAGCTCTAATCTTCCTTTAAGTAGTCTGAAATGATTTAAATGCCAAATTTTCATAAATGGCTTCTTCCAAATATCTTTTATTTTGTTTATCTGAAATAATTATCATCAAAAGAAAAAAAAACAAATTTCTGAGAGTAAAAGTAGTTATATTGATTGATTTGTAATTAATACTTTCTATTAAATCATTATATAAATAGGCAAACACTAATCGGTTCAGCCCCTTTTACTCCTCTATTATTCAACCGATTTTCTTCATTCTTTTGTTGTTTAATAGATATTGACGAGCTTTAGTGTTATCAAAAATAGAAATATTAAATAGTATGTAAACAAAAATATAAATGGTAGTTTGTTCAAAATGGCTTATCTCCGAAAATTTTTCACCGATTTCTTTTAAATTTTGACACAACGTCGCAATAATATTTAGAAGTTTTTTTGTATACGTTTCATTATCATCGGGCCTTTCCTTGCCGAAAAACGTGATTCACTTTAGACTGTAGCGCCAATACGGCTTCAACGATTTCAATGAAACTTGGCTAAAGTCTTCCCCTTGAAACCTTTATAATTTATGTATATAACATACTTTCCCGAAAACAAGCTGCATACATTTTTATGATGAATTCAGTATTTTATTTGCGAATAACTCAAAAAGTACACATTTTTTATTGATAATACCAATATTTATTTGAAAGCTTCCTGAATTCCTTACAAAATAAAAAAAAATCATCGAAATCGGACTATTTGTTGCAGAGATATATCATTTTAAACATTTAGTACTTTTTCTTTTGCAAATTCGATTTCCTTTATTTTGGTTTTTGATAAATCGAAAACTTTTCATTTACTGAGGTAATTGGGACTATTATTTGAAGAGATGATATCATGTAATGTTAGTGGAATGATACCTCATAAATTAAATTAAAAAATATATTCTATAGTTATACTCATTGTTAACTTAAATACTGCACAAGCATTAGTTAATGGAACAGGAATGAGACTGAAGTATTAACGGGGGCTACTTTAAATTAAAGAATTTTAATTCCAAGAATTAATTTAACATTTTCTGACACTATACTTACATTTGACTTTCAAAGAACAACGTTCCTATTAATAGCTGCATTTGCTATGACCATAATCAAATCGCAGGATAAACAATGTGTGTATTATTGTGACGTCCAGTAATTTCGCATGGACAATTATATGTGGCAGCAATTAGCGCACGTTCATTTAAAGTATTGAAATTTATACTTTCAATGGCAACGGGCATGGCTATGCACTAAACATTAACAGAACATTCAAAAAGAACATTATTTACATAGAAGTTCTGAATAAAAATGGATTTAAATTGAATCTAAATTGCTAATTTAAATTTATTTATTACTTGCTTAATCATAACATTAATTTATTGTGATAATAACACACATAAATTATAATGAAAATTAAATATTTTTGAATGAGTATATTTTGTATTACTTATAAATAATTTTGAATGACTTAAGCTTGATTTTTAATTGAAATTGAAATTCTGTTTGTATTAATAAATGAGGGTTTTTGAATCGTGATTTACTCTTTATTTATTTACTTTATTTTTTTTAATTAATTATATCTTTTCCTCAAATTTTTAATGGCTATGGTCGAATTTCGACCACCGGGCGAACACTAGTACTATTAAATTGCTGTGTTATGAGAAAGTCATGAGGTTCTTTGTCATCTATGGTTCAGACTTGCCAATAGTATTTAAGACCTTAGAAAGGCAGCTACTTGCCTGAGAGAGACGGGTTCTGCTTAATCTCAATCAATCCATCCATGGTTTGGATAATTGAGAAATATAAGAAGCTGTGTCAGATTTGGTATACATGCAGCCATATTCATTCTCTATTGTGAGATTAATGCAATTTAGATAGGTTGATCATGTGGTAGGTATGCCCAGAGGAGCAATCCCCCAACACTTTCTCTAAGACCAATTTGTAGGACATCCTCTAGAGGATAGAAATTAGAAGTTGGATACTTTCCGGAAATAAAAGAGAGTGGGTACATAAATAAAAATTGCTTTATTAATTCAGCTTTAATTCTCCTTTACCGGTTTTTACATCATTGGTTATGGCAAATGAAAAATTCCTTTTGTTGTTGATGGATCAAACAAAAAAAAATTTAATGATGGAATTAAAAAAAAAAAAATTATGCTATGCAACTTTCAACCACTTTTTATCATTAAGTGATTAAGTGTTTTAAATAGATATCTATAAATGAATCTTAGAAAATAATTGTCTATATTTTTTTGTTTAATTTAAAACTTGTTTAGATTATTTATATCATGTTTTAAATTAGATCAACTGAAATTGGTTTACTATTTTATTGCAGGAAAGACATTGCCTGGTGTTGCTGCTCTCTCCGATGCATAAAGGCAATACTATTAAGAATAGTCAACGCTCAAACTCAGTGTATTTATCCATGTAGTAATTTAAACGCTAAAAATTTCCATATCTACAAAAAAAAATATACATCTGTGTAAATTATATTTTTATATTTTATTCTATATTTATATTTGTACAATTAAATACATTTTGTAAAGATGTATTTCTATACAGTATTTACAGTTTTTTTTTATCATAACATACAATAAATACATTATAAACAAATAACTTATTTTTATAAATTATAAAAAAAAACAAAAATTATCAAAAAGGTTACTGGCACATAAGACTACAGCTTTTTTATCACAAATAAACTACTGTAACTAAGGCAAACGATTCTGTTTTGATTTATCCTTTTTTTTTTTTTTGGTGTTAATTTGTTGTACTTTTTAATTATTTACAAAGCTACATCTCTGTACTTTTGCATGTCGTCGGATTCAATTGATATTTTGCTGTCAGCGGGCCAAGACTTCTCTTCCATTCTCGGATCCTGCACATAGGCCACTCTTCCCGTTGGGTCAATGACGAAACCTGAAACTGGTAGCGGACCGAAATAACCTAAAATAAAATATGATTTTTAAAGTATACAGATTATTCAAGAATTTCCATATAGTGAAAAATATATATTTAAAATGTTTCTTTAAGATTTATGTTTGTAAAACAATAATTACTACAGGTTACCTCTTATATATACAATACAAAGATTCCTAAAAAAAAATATTATGCTGAAATTTATATATAGCAGTTTAAAAAGATAGATAAAGTAATATCATAATATATATATATATGGGTTCTGATATAGATAGAAAAATTCTCAATAATAAAGCCTTGAGTTTCTATCCTACAGGTATATAGTTAACCTACCAATGTTTTGATAATTCAGACATCATCAAATCAGAAAAAACAAGATCACATATATCGAAAACAAAAAGAATTTCATTTACTGTAAACTATACATCATACAAACCTATCCGAACACATACTGAAGGTTACATAAACACAATAGAGGAAGATTATAATAAAAAGTTTACCAGAAGGAATGAAACAAAAAAAATATGTATAGCCAAAAACTCAAAAACATAATTATATAAAAATATATGAAATAATAAATTATTAAAATGACGCTGAATGAAACTAAATGCAGAGTAAAAGTCCATTCATAAATGTCTAATGTGTTCAAAGTGGAACTTGGGCTACGTCAAGGAGATCCTCTTTCCCCAGTACTTTTTAATCTAGCCTTAGAATATGCTATTAGAATAATTAAAACAAAGCCAGGAGTAAACATTAATAACAGATTAACTCAACATATGGACTATGCTGATGATGTAGTGATATCAGCAAGATCATTACCGGCACTAGAAGAGTTTGAAACAGCTGCTAATGAATTGGGCCTGGTATTTTCAAGGAAGAAGAGGTTAAGATAAGGGAGCATGTAGGACCTTCAAGTATCTCGGTGGAATCGTCACGAGAGAAAAGGAAACGGCAAAGGACATAAAGGCTCGAGTTGCTGCTGGGAATAGGTGTCTATATACAATGCGTTCTGCCCTAGTTTATAAAATTCTCTCAAGAAAAGCTAAGGTATTGCTTTATAAGACTATAATTAGTCCCACAGTAACTTATAGCAGTAAAACCTGGGTTATGACAGCAGCTTGCTAGAAAAGACTAAGGACATGGGAGAGAAGAGTTCTAAGAAGGATATTTGGATCTGTGCGAGAGGACGATCGGTTTAGAGCGAGAATGAACTCTGAGCTCAAAGAACTATTTCCAGAAGCGGACATAGTTAATGTCATTAAGAAAAGAAAACTGGGCTGGCTTGGGCATGTTGAAAGGATGCCTATATTGAGATTGATCAGGCAAATGCTATACGGTCATCCTGGTGACTCACGAAGGAGAGGTAAGGCTCGTAAACGATGGCTGGACGATGTGGAAGAGGACCTCCGCCAGCTGAACATCAGGCGATGGCGAACTAAAGCGAAGGATAAAGTATATTCTATAAAAGACTAAATTTACTGACTATTAAACCCAAAGATCAAAGATCCACCATCAGAACTAAAGCTATGATATACATTAATGTTAAAAATTTTTCTTGAAATTACTATTGGTATATTTATCCTAAATGAAAAAAATCCAAACCCAAAAGCCTTGAGCCCCCAAAATACAGTAGAACTTAACCGATTTCTATAAATATAGAAAGATTGCAATTTTTTATTATAACGAAAACAATTATGTTTTAAGACTGAGCATTTTTATCCAAAGCAATTTTTTAGAGAAAAATTAAATCAATAAAAAATGTATTCCATATTTATAAGAAAAATATAGAGACAATTGGGTGAGCGAGAAATTTTGTTTCATAAGTTGGAGTACAATTCCTCTTTCAACTAGTATTTTTTTGAAAAAGCAGAACGTTGAAAGAAATCATCTTCATCTATTATTTTTACAGAATCTATTATTTTGGACTCGCTGGGAATCCTGCAACACCACCTGTATTATTGTTTGCTATTGCTTTATGAATTCTAGAGAGAGTGAGGAGAAAAATAAGAAAATATTTATAAATACATCATAAATTCTGTATTTAGGATGATAGTCTCATAAAACATTATTCTTTTCTTAAAAATTATCAATTAAACTCATTAGTACTGTGTCGTTTGGCTACGCAGTTGAGCAGCCTTACTACAACTTTATTGTACTTCTCTACAACATATGGAGTACCAACAAAAAACTACCTTCGAGAAATAATAAGTAAAAATTATTTAAATATTTAAGCTGAAAACTGTTTGATTTTCACTTACCATTCCTCATCCTGTCTTCGGTTGGGAAGAAACCAATTGATTTTGAACGGTACAAAAGCTTCCTATCCAAACTTTGTGTATTGTGAGGATGATGCGGTGGTAAATTAAAGGTTGGTACCGGAGTGAAGGTGGGAGGTAACTGTCCTCTCAGATCCATCACTGAAAGACTTTTTAATCTTGAATTGTAGAGAGCCGCATTGAATTCATTTACGCTTGGTGAAGGCGATGGGGTACGTGGTGCAGGAGGCAAAGACCGCAGAGATGGTGACCTAAAAAAAAAGTTAATCATTATTTCTCATTAGTTACATTAAGTTTTATTTATTTTACTCATCCCATATGGTTTTATCATTATCTTTTATTTCTTGCCAGCTATTGAGGGGTTCATGGATGGGTAAGAGATACCATGATAGCTTCAATTTACATAGTGCTAGAGCAACGTTCAAAACAGAATATTCTTTGCAGAATTAGTTTTAATTGTGAACTACGAAAGTTCATACTGTACTGAAGTGTATTAAATGCCGTGAAGGTTCATTTTGCTACCACTTCAAGCGATTGATTTAAAAAATATTTGGCTAGTCATTATATGACCGAAACAGAGGATTATGTTTCAAAAGGTAGGTTAGAGTATTTTGTCTTTTTAACTTCAGCTTGTTTGTTTCAGAAGTCCTTGTATGATAAGTATTGCTTTATTTCATTTTACATACACTGACAGGCCAAAAATTCCACCCACTAGTTACCCATTAAGGAACCACGTTGGAAAGGTTGGCTCTGGGAAAAATTACAGGCTGCATATCTTTCGTTTCTTCTTCTCCACAACCTTTCATGCCCCTCTGGAGATCGAAGAGCGAATCTTGACTCATCTGTAAAAAGTACAGCACTCCATTCGTCCATAGTCCAATGGCTGTGTTCTCGAGCAAAAGCCAGCCGTGTTACTCTGTGAGTTCTGGTCAACTATGGTCCTCTTACTGGACCAAAAGCCATTAATCCATACTCATTTAATCTTCTCCGAGCGGTACGTTCAGGAATTTGTACACCTCGAACTTCTTCGAGCTGATGAATCGCTTGAACAACGGTAAGGTGTCGGTTTCATAAAATTCTCAAAGTCAAAAACCGGTCATCCCATGGTTCTGTTACCCTAGGCTGTCCTGAACCGGGCCTTCTATTGTAAGAACCAGTTTCCTGAAAACGCCTGACGGCGTCTCGTAAAGTTTCATATGCATATCTAATGGAACGTCCATCATCAATAAGTTCTACACCACGCGCAACATCCTTATCACTAAGAGGCATTTTTAAACTTAAGAACCGAATTTTTAAGATAAGAAATGGCACTGAACTAATGATACTGAATAAACATTTTGATTCCATAGAAAGTAAACATTGGAATCTAGAATCATTTCATTGAATTAAGGATTAAGGGTTATTGTCCTCTATATTAACATTCATAATTGAAAACAAACAAAAAGATTACCTATCTATTTATTAAAAACAATAGACTAATCCAAAGCAGAAATATTTTTAGATGAAAACATGAAAAAACAAGTGGGTGGAATTTTTTGCCAGTCAGTGTATTTTAAAAATTATATAATACTACTCTTCAAAGTAAAGTCATTGTTTTCATTTACTTTCATCCATCTCATAACCTAAATAATTGAATGGGTGATAAATATTCAGGACGCAGTCTTTTTTAAAATTTTTTATTTTTGCCAACGTTTCAACCCAAAAATGTGGGTCATCTTCAGGGCTCTGTTTTAGTGTTTGAAGTATCTGAAGAGAGAATAGAATGAATGAGTGAAACATTGGCAAAAATAAAAAAGTTTTAAAAAGACTGCGTCCTGAATATTTATCACCCATGATATGTAGAACAGTCGACTAACTTCCTTCAATAAATAATTGAATATTAATTAATTCTAGCACTAGATAATAAATATTGTGCAAAAACATTTGAAGGCAACATGGGCCCATGGCTAGCACACTTGCTGTCTATAAGCTGCAGGTTCTCCATCTCTGGTATAGATAATAAATAATAAAAAGAAATATAAAAGTTAACAATTTTATTTGGTATTTTAATAATCAAAAATAGGTGACCAACCTTCTTAAATTTGTTCTCGGTATAATGACAGGATGGTCAGTTTCCGATATAATTGTGGGATTCATGTAACCGACTTGAGGAGCTCCTTTGTTACTAACTACAGATGGTCTTCTTCTCCCTGCGGTGTGAACTGCTCGTGAAGCCTAAGGAATATAAATCAAGTGTAAATCAGTAATGAATATATAAAGTAAGTCTAATATTTATGTATATAATTATATAATAACTTAACACGTTAGCTATGGTTAGTGTTCCTGGCGTCCTATAGCTTCATATCAGATATAATGATTATTTACATTTGTATCTATCTTTACGTCTAACCAACTCCCATTCAAATATTTTAAAAATGACCATTTTAGAGAGCTCGCCAGATAGGTAAAATTTTAAACCATCCTGGCCGAAATAGAGACAAATATTGGAACCCGTTGACCTGAACTGCACCTAATTTGTTATAAGAAATGCAAAATCAATTTTTTTAACTTCATCTCTTCACTCATATCGGTCAGATATTGCAATTTGCAAATGCGATGGAGAAAATTGCAATTATGGCATGCTAGAACATGGAGAAGGAAAGTACCCAGCAAAACCTCTTTTCATTCTTGTTTCTGTCTCTTAATTCAGGAAAAAAGGTCTCATTCAACTCTTCTTGTAGTCCTCATGGTGATGTCAACTATGTCCTTATTGTTTTCAGTTTCTTGTTGAATGTTCGTGAAGTTTTAACGAAAATGGTAATGAAGTATGATCAATTGCTGCTTGTTATAATTAAATAGGTATGTAGACTTGTTATTTATGAACCAAGGAACATATATTATTTGCCTTATGTTATTTGGATTGAACTTGAAAAATAGTTTTTGTAAGTTCATCTTTTTTTTTGCTAAAATATAAATTTGTGAGCCATATGTACTGTAGTCTATAGTACTGATGTGTAATTTTTTATTTTCTGTTTAACTTTCAGAATTGGAATAAGAGCAGATACAGTAATTTCTGTCATTTTTTAGAGTTTTCTTTTTCATTTTGATGTGTGGACCTAAATTTATTCTTTTATTTAATGTTGGTTCAAGACAAAAATATTGTGTTAGTCTAAGAAATCTGATTGCTATGACCTGGTGGACATGTTTTTCTTTGAAGTATCAACATTATATGTTCTGATTTGTCATGATTTAATGTAAGTTTCTGGAGTGAGTACCAGTTTTGCAAAAGTAGTTCGTGATTTCGTCAATATGGATGTATTGTAATAATTGTATTGTTAGTGTGGATAGCAGTCTATATCTCAGCCTTTGTAGGTATGTCCTATATAAATATAATGTATGGTAAAATAAAAAGTATTTATTCTTGGGCTGCTACTCCTGAGACTGGTTGAACTGAAGAAATTTTGGAGCTCTGACGTGAAAGAAGGATTAAAGATAGTAAATGTGAGGTAAAATGTGCTCGGGATTAAAGAGTTGCCCCTTCAAATCAGACTTTATCCAATGTCTTTTTAGTTTGATTTTTTATTTTAAAATTATGCTGTTCCCTGTACAACTAGATTGATTTCAGCGTCAATTAGTTCAAAGTAGAATTAATAATGATATACTAGAACCATTTGATTTTATTTGTCCTTCACACAACGATTCTTTAGCATATCTAATTATCTATGGGAAATGAACATTTCATTGATATTAGGACTTGCTAAGATTCTTGAAACAAAGTAATGTATTTACTTGAATATATGTCGGCCTCGAATGACCTATAAGATGTCCTCACAATTATGAAAATTATTTTCAGAATATAAATATGGATAACGAAAAATTAAACTAAAAACAATTTATGTCTTTATGTACATTAAAAAATAATTAATTGTTTAAATCAGGTACTTAAAGTTAGATAAATACCATCATACCATCTTTCAAATATTATAATGAAGCTTTGAAATTATAACTCATTGGTACTGAAATTGAAATTATATATTTTAACCTTATAAAGAAAATGGCCGATTGAAAAATTTTTACTGAAATGTCTATTCCTTTGAATTTTTTTTTTTATTTCAATCAGTTTTTAATAATAAAAAGAAATGAACATAGAAACAGAATGTGAGACTTTTTTTTTATACACGAGTTATTTAGTATTTAAACATATTTAAATATAAACATTCAATTACCATATTTAAGTCTCTTAAACTAGAAAGAACTTGCTTTTCTTCCTTCCAATAGCTATACAATGAATGAACACAGATCAAACCGGAAATCTGAAATAAAAATATATTACATTTAAGTTTTCTTACTTACAAACAGAAACATATATAAAAAACGCTGCAAATTATTTCACAATGGTTTAATATTTTCAAACAACTATACATCTAAAGTAATATTACCTTCCTAGTTACAAAGAAAAATAAATAAAGGTGATTCCAATTATTGGACTAAACTTTAATATGCTAAGAAAAATAGCATTACTTCAGTAACGAATTCAAAATTTAAAAACCAAATAAAGAATATAACATTTAGAGTAGAACATATAAAAAAAAAAAAACTGGAGACCATATCTTTGCTCCTAATTGTCCGATTGTCCGTTTTTTTTTTTTTTTATCCAAATTTGAAAAAAAATCGGTCCAGTAGTTTAGGATAAAATGCGTGAATGGTGGACAGACAAACAAATTTTTATTTGTTTTCGAATTCTACGCATCCTGAAACGTGAAACCTCAAGTTTTGAGACGGGGTTAATTTTTTGGTCGATCACAATGGTTGAAAATAATAAACCAAAATACAGTTAGTGTTTTCATCATATTATTTAATCATTACTTCTCGCAAAAAAGATGAATTAATTTATGTTTGAATTATGATTGATTATTTAAAATCATTTTATGCAAAACTAAATATTTCATTTAAACTTACATTTACAATCAGTCTGCATATCCAGAAGGTTATTTCTGTCAGTCCATATATTGTATAAATTTTCTGAAACAATTTGTTTTGTTTTTTAAATTTTACTGCACAAATATATTTTCTGTTATTTTTATTATTACTATAACTTACCCAAAATTGGAAACTCATGAAAAGTACAAGACCCCCTTCTGGCAACAAGAAGACCAAAACTCCAAAGAGCCATACCAGAAGGTTAGGAATCTGCTTCTAAAATGTTATAAATTAAATTTGATTTGTACAAATATTAATGTAATAATTATCACATAACAGGCTGAGTATTGTA